CGGATGAATTTAGACATTCAAGTTTTTACATTGTAATGTAATGTAGGTCATCGTGTAGATATGTAATGTAGGTCAAAAACCCTTGCTACACGTACTGCGTTAGACTTCACTTAGACCAAGTCATTAGACTAAATTCATAAAAATATGAATTTATTCGAGACCTACTACAGCGCATGCGCTTAAAATATCCACTACGTAGTGGATATAGTCCAGTTACGTCATCGTGCTGCAGGCTGCAGCGAGGACAGACTCGAATAAACAGAAGATTTAAATGTTTTCGTTGATTCAGCGTGACTAATAAACACACGACTATGGCAATATATGGTTTATCTGAGTTCTTATTATTATAATTTTCATTATAATAAAGTATATCTATAATGCAATGCTAATCGACATAGCCTTTATCACGGCTTGGAATACTATGAAATATGTTGAGTGCCTTATTCTGTGTAAGAAGCCACATCATCTCACAGAAGGATTTATTTCAAACACTCGACTGACGTTATGAAGTGAGTTTGGAGTAAAAACATGTTATTAAATGTGGTATTTTAATTTACTACACAGAGCCGTAGTTCACTGAGAAGCTACGCAAACAGCTGTCATTATCGCAAACAATTTCATAATCGTACGATTATATCGTCTGCGATTTTTTTGTATAGCTTGTCAGAGATCTACGGCTCTGTGTAGTAAATGCTACTCCATCTAAAAGCAGGTGATGGAGATTTACTAATCACAGAACCGGCTTTACTGACAAGATGTGCATGACAATCGCATTCAATTAATCCTGCAGCCCTATGAGAAACATTTCTTCATAATACGTCTTCAGCACTCACTTGATATTTTCATCATGTTCACTGAACTCCTCATCATTAAAACCAAACTGATCCACAAAGTTGGCGGTCATCTGCTGAATCTGGTAATCAGAGAACGCCTGAAAGCAAAAAAAAAAAAAAAATCATGCTTAAATGTTAGCCAATCAGCTGTTAGGAGTTTAAAGCAGACTCATGCTGGCTATTTATTTGTTGCTTCTTACCTGTTGGATGGACAGATCATTGGGGAAAGGGCTCTCCATGTCATCATCTTCACTAGATGAGTGTAAGTTATGGGTGCTCACCTGGAACACAGGATGAGAACCAATCAGAAATCAGCATCAAACCATGTAACATGCTCTTAATGAAGGTGAAAGTGACAAAAATAAGATATATTAAAATAGTTCACAATGAACTGTGATAACTGGTTTCCTCGAAAGTAAAGGTTTTAAAGCCATTTTGACCAATTAGGGAGTGATGTTACATCTTTTTATTATGAAAATAAAGAAGCACTAAGCATCTCTGAAATATTTACTGTTATAATCTATTGCAGGGAACATATTTGTAACTCTCTCTAAACATATCTTAAAAGGAAAAAAATAACATGATCATTATATTAGCTATTTAAATATCTTATCCAATATTATTCATCGGTCCAATAAAATGAAATGTGTGTAAATGCTTTCCTCACCAAATCCACTGTGTTTCTCCTGTTGGTCTCTCTCAGAGTGTCACCCACAAAACTCTCCCAGCGGCCTCTGCAGTCTTCTGGCAGCTCTGTGGATATACAAGTGATTATGATCTCAGGTATCATCAGTTCATAAACTCTGTGGTTCTTTTGACATATTCCTGCACAACAAACCTTTAATTAGGTCATTCATTTGAGAGTGAGCCAGCCCTTTCTCCAGGTTTTGAACCACAGTGTTTGCAATTCTTGTCAGGTGTCCCATGTTTCCCCTTCGTCTTCCTCCTTCAGCCCTGGAGATTAAGGTAGAGAAAATACAATCAGCCAACAACAGAAACAAACAGACAGACAACAAACATACTGACGACATGACGGATTCAAGTTGAGCTTCATGGGACTATCACACATGCTTATAAATCAATGACAACAAAGAAATGAGAGGCTCTTACTGAATTTTATCATTTTCCTCCCAAGCATCCAGAATCCTTTGCACCAGCCGGCAATGCTGGAAGAGCTGAGGAAAGCAAACAGCCAGACATTGAGAATAATGAACAAAAAGGAAACACAAAAGAGCGTAGATTACAAAAAAGGCAGTCAAAAAAAGGATAACAAAGAATATGCAGAAAACAAAACTGACACACCTCTACTCAACAAACCACATGACTTGAGATATCATTCAAGGTGGGGGATGAACCAAAGGTAATTACTTAGGGTCAATGGTTTGTTCAAATCCCTGAACCAAAGTGTGTGCAATACATTACCGTTCAAAAGTTTTTTTCATGAAAAGAACAGCATTTATTAGATTTTTTTTTCATTATTTATGTCTTTACGGTCACTTTTGATCAATTTTATGCATTCTTGCTAAATAGTAAAAAAAAATCTATCTGACCCAAAATTTTGACTTTGGGGCTGTTTTTCTGCAAAGGGACCAGGACGACTGATCCGTGTAAACGAAAGAATGAATGGGGCCATGTATCGTGAGATTTTGAGTGAAAACCTCCTTCCATCAGCAGGGGCATTGAAGATGAAATGTGGCTGGGTCTTTCAGCATGACAATGATCCCAAACACACCGCCCGGGCAACGAAGGAGTGGCTTCGTAAGAAGCATTTCAAGGTCCTGGAGTGGCCTAGCCAGTCTCCAGATCTCAACCCCATAGAAAATCTTTGGAGGGGGTTGAAAATCTGTGTTGCCCAGCGACAGCCCCAAAACATTACTGCTCTTGAGGAATGGGCCAAAATACCAGCAACCGTGTGTGAAAACCTTGTGAAGACTTACAGAAAATGTTTGACCTCTGTCATTGCCAACAAAGTGTATATAACAAAGTATTGAGATGAAATTTTGTTATTGACCAAATACTTATTTTCCACCTTAATTTGCAAATAAATTCTTTAAAAATCCTACAATGTGATTTTCTGGATTTTTTTTTCTCATTTTGTCTCTCATAGTTGAGGTATACCTATGATGAAAATTACAGGCCTCTCTCATCTTTTTAAGTGGGAGAACTTGCACAATTGGTGGCTGACTAAATACTTTTTTTCCCCACTGTACGTGTTTAGTAGTGAAAATGATGCTTGCATTCATGAGCACCACTAACAAGGCCCACTACCCTGTTTCCTGTAAGTCAATATGAAAATAGGGACCAAAAGGAAGCAGTCATGAACGAAAACATATAAACTAAAGCTGATGACCTACATTGGCAACAAGAGCATCTTGAATGGGCGTGTTTGCTGGGTCTAAGGTGCTGTTCTGGTCAGGTGTTCCCTCTTCTGCTTGGTTGCCTGTGCCTGTAGCTGGTCTCTCCTCGTGGTTCTGCAGACCTGGGTTCTGGAGGTCTGCATGGGCAGAGTGGTTCAGGATGGATGCCACACACAGCTCCACTTGCAAGTGCAAGAAATTATTCCAGGTGTATTTAAAGAATAAATCCTGCAACCAGAGAGAGTTGAAGAAAAAAAAATTATGAAAAACAAGATCGCCCACTCACAGCCAGCTCATAGTATTGAGTCTGCGATATTCGATGTGTGTGCGTAAGTGATTTACCAACAGCAGGTCCATGGTGTTGAGTCTGCAGATCTCTTGGCAGATGCTGAGGTCGCAAGTCTGCAGCAGAGAAGCCACCAGTCTGGCCACATGAAGGCGGGCACTCCCCAGGGGCTGCTCCAGAACGCCCACTGTAGTGAGTATTGCACTTCTCTGTTCCACAGCAAGTGGCGGGAGATTGACACATTGTTAGAGGGCTGTCACTCTCAGGATTGCACAGTGATTGTTGAGACAGAAGCTCTGTTCCAGAACTTACTGTGCTGCCAACAAAGACTGACACATTTTACAGCATTAAAATTATGCTCCTGAAGGCTGTTCCACAAAATTCAGCAGCAATATTATGTTACCTTCAAAGACTTAATAAAGTCACAAGGAAAACGAAGTAGCTACTGATTGTTTCTTTCGTATTGCAATGTACATCCGAGTGCAACAGATTATCGAAAAAGAAAAAAAAATGTAGGGCAGGAACTTGGTTCTGCCCATCGGTTGCTGACTGGATTTTGAGATGTGGGCATTGCACCCAAAAATTAATGTGAGCTTGCAATCGATTGTGAAGAGGCGTGGTTTAGCTAGAGAAGTTTGTCATTTCACAGGAAGACTGAGTTAGGACATTTGGTTTAAATTTTCAAAAAATTATGAAAAAAATGACATGCATGAATGAATCATTTGAACTAAGATCAATAACATGCATTTTCATACCGACTTTCCTGAAAACTTGTGATTCCTTCAAATATTTGGGTGTGGCATGTATTTTGATGCATAATGAAGTAAATTAGCTTAAAAAAAAACACTAACTCATGCAAGTTTCTCAATGAGCTTCTTGTGAAGAGTGACACCAATGTAGATTTTTCCAAATCAGTCACTTATGAGGTTTTACTTTAGTTATGCATACAGCAAGGCAGCTTAAGTTTGGAAAAAGAGCAACAAACTTTAGCTTAACACACACAAAAGTGGTTCAAAAGCCCTGAGATGACATTTACGCCCAGATGGAGTTGCTTGTGAGTGTGTGTGTGCATGCTGGTACCATAGGAGGGTTCAGTAGGAGCTGCTGGAAGTCCTTTAGATGAGGCTCAATAGCACGTAAAATACTGCTGTTGACAGTGTAAGACCTTTCACATCCCTGAGAATACAGGTCCATCAGACCCTCCAGCCTAATAACATCAGATACAGAGATAAAAGAAGGTCAAAGAAAGATAAAAATAAAAAAAAAGAGGAAGAACAGCAAGCGTCCAAGCATGGCTGTTTATTTTAGGATTATTAGGCCCTGTAATGGATGAACTCACCCTGACCTTCGTGACTCCAGTAATGTAAGAAGCACTTGCGTTCCATTGACGACAGACGCTTCAGTCATTTCCCCTTCAAACATGTTCTTCAAAAGCTCCGCCACATTCTCTTGTCTACAAATACACAAACATAAACGGATGAGATACATAAACAGCCTTTTTGTACAAAAATAGCAGTCTTTACAGAGTGTGTAAATTCTTACACATGGCCCACTATGTTACAGGACTGAGATCTTAGCTAATCTGATTTGGCACTTACGACTCCAGGACAGCGAGTAAGGGGTCTGGTTCGGTGACCTCTGACAGCTGATTGGCCTGGTCTCGACTAAGTCGAATGATGTCACAAAGAGTCTGGGATGCATTAGATTGTCTCTGCAGAACAACAAGAATGTCCTTTTTTTTTTAAACTTCCATAACTGAAATCATGTGGGCTGGGGTTGAAAAGTTCAGCAAAGTGAGGGATATTTTGTACCTCTTCATCTCTCCCTGTGTGCATGAGCTCTGTGAGTCTCTGGATGAGTCTCTCCTCATTCAGCCACTGCAAATACATTCATTCACAGACTAGAATCACAGCCCCGTAATGATGAGTGAGGATTCAGCCACGGCTTGGAGGATAACAGTCAGGCTAAATGCAGGTCAATGTCTTATTTAGCAACTAAATCACTTATTAATGTTCCTTAAAGGCATAATTTCTACAAATGGTTCAGGCTCCAAGAGGTAGGGCAATGTAAAATGCTTTTGAACAAGATTAACTATCATATAACCCCCAAATTCACTTGTAGAGTCAACAACACATGGAAACATTCACACAGTGCATGTTACTGCTTTTAGATATAGCTGAACAGAACACAGTTTATAAGTGCCCCTTTAAATCGGTTCATTCTCATTTATATATAAATATTAGTGTGCTTACATTGAGGACCTCCATCCTCAAGGGGGCAGGCTCTACACAGCTGATGAGGCGCAGCAAAAGGTCCATCATGGCCGAGGCATCAATGTGATTCAGCACCAGACTGATAAAGTTGTGTTTTTTCCTTAGGAAAGAGATTACCTGCATGTGCAATGACAGACAACTTACTAACTAAACAAATCAAACAAATAACCCCCATATTTTCTTTATGCCATGTAGTGTGTGTTCATATTCGGAGTTGTATGGATCAGGTGTGCGTACCTGGTCTGTTTTACGTGCAATCAAGTTGCCGATGGTTTTGCTGAAGAAGGACGCCAGCAGGGGATTAAGGGGCGGCTCTTGCTCCAGAAAGTGGTAGAGCTTCTCCAAAAGGGATTCATCTCCACCCAGCTTATCATTGATAAGAGCCACATCAGAGGTCAGGAGCTCACAGGCTATGTTTGGACACCTATATAAACGAATCAAAATGTCTATATTAGTTACAAGTAACATGTGACGACACAATCAAACCGCAACAGGCCAAAAAAAGGTCTATGGTGACTTGGCCTTTAGCATTACAAACTAAGGCACTTTCTGAGGGTCCAATGAAGGCATTTCAAAACTAACAGAAAGTTGCTCAGTAGCACTACTTATCTTCTGTTACTCAGACAGCACTAAAGTAAATACTGGTCAACTCAGTGGTGCAGTGTCGTCTGAGCCACAAGAGAAAGTTATAAACTCTGCGGCAGTGCATTATATCCTATTGCAGGATTCTGCATTTGACAAAAATATCACCAAACAAAAAATCTGGATCAGTGCTGCTGACAACATATTTCACTCAACGTAATAACATTTCACAATACTTGGAGAGAAAAGACATTTTGAGTGAATCCGCTTGCTCATTTCAAGACAAATGATTCTGCCTCCTACACACAGAGAAGCAAATGATTAGTTTTAAATGAACTCTAATATCTTTCTCTCTCTCTAACCATATGGTCCCAACAGAGAGTGCTAAACCTGATAGATTTCAACCCTTCAGAACATGAGTTTTTTCATATATTTTGTTAAACAGCACACCCCTCACAAAGCAACTCTGATTTAAAACATAAAAGTAGCAGAACACAAGAGTTTACACATCACCTTTCAACTCACTAATTTCTATTTTCCTGTTCCTCTTCCTTCATTTGTCAATTTAACTCCACTTCTCTGCACTTCTACATCTTCACTGTCAGTTTTATAGCCCTCCCGTAACCAGGAGCTCCAGACATGCAGGGCTACCAGTGAACAACACGTATGTCCTACCATCATAATTTAGCAATTCTCAGTACCAGTTGGAATACTTTTACTGCCAGCCATATTTACATCTAGGCTACAAGTTAATTGCTGTGAATGAACATTTAAAGTGCAGTCACACTAGCTTAAAAAGTACACTGTTTACTGTCAAAAGTGTAGCAATGTATAAAGCCCAGCTCTTAAACCAAGCAGCTTTCTTTTGGTCAACACATTAAACACATGCAAAATCTGCACAGGGAACTTTTACCCTCTCGTGCAAAACTCTAAATTGTGCAGATTCCTATTTTGCTCATGAAATTTTGCCGGGCAACAGTAAATGTAGCTACAGACACCCTGTCCCAAACTCAAGCAATTGGCTGAGCCAATGCTGCAGTGTCTGGTTGGTCAAAACTAGCAAAATAAGGTGCAAAGCCGTGTCTCTGTCTTACTTGAAGCGAGTTTTCTCCTCCAGGTCAGAAGGGGGCTCCTCCGTAATAAGGGTGACCAGCTCCAGCATACAGTGATCCTTGGAGAGGAAGAGCAGGAGCTTGCGGTTCTGTGCTTTGCACTCCTGCAGGACATCCTCCTCTTCCATCAACTCTCTCAGAGTCACTCCCTCTCGATCCAGCAGCTGGTCGATATGGGAGGTGTTGTTCAGGTCAAACTTCCAGAACATGATGGCGGCGGCGGTGGCTGCTGCAGCAGGAAGCCCAGGCCTGAAGAGAAGACTTGAATGTGAGGAGAAATATCTATTGCAGAGAAGGTGATCCTAGACTGAGACGGCGATAAACACAATGAAAAAATCCAAAGTAGATATGCAGAATTGTCTAAACTTTTTGAGTCAAATGTCCCATTATATCTACATAAACATGTAATATTACGTTTTTCTGCATAATTATGACAAAGCTGCCTGGGTTTAAACTTTTTTATTAACAGAAACTAGGAGTATAAACAATGTTGTGTTTTCAGACATTTTTAAGAATGCTGTCAAACAACAGTTATTGTTACATTTTTATTCAGAGTTAGATTATTTTAAAATATTAGCAATAATTAATTAATTTAAATGCTTTTTAATGATCTTGAATGCCCCTTGGAGGTTTGCTGAAGCCCCCTAGTGGGCCACCGGCCCCGTGGTTGAGAACCACTGTGTTCAAAATCAGTCGCTTATGAAGTTCTATTATGGTTAGGGAGTTGTCTTAAAAAGCAGCTGTCTATGTAGGCACTAGGCAGCCTAATAGGTTTTGGAACAACGCTATAGAATGAGTGGGAGGGGGGGGAAGAATAGCGATGGAAAGCAGAACTAACAGATAAAAGAGAATCTGGAGAACAGACGAACAAGGAAGGGGACAGAAATAATTGATAGACCTTTAAAGCATCCAACTAACAAATCCCACTCAAAACAAAACATGAGGCAACTGGAACATGAAGAGCAACTTTCCTTCTTTCAGTACTGATTGAAATCACCTGGGCTGTGAAGATTTTCTAACAACTCTGGTCATGAACAAAGCAGACCTTTCCCACAAGATGACTGATACCCACGCATCACACCCTGGGCGATACATTTCACACAGCTTGATAGGCTTTGCTTGCGCAAAGAGATGTGATCTGTTAGTGAGCCTATATAAAAGACTCTTCAGGAATTCGAGCGCTGGAATCTGGAATATTAATAGCATTTGTTAAATAAATATATTTTTACCAGCTGATGAAACGTGTGAATCCTTAGTTACACCTCCTCCACAGGCAGACAGAACAAGGAAGGGGACAGAAATAATTGATAGACCTTTAAAGCATCCAACTAACAAATCCCACTCAAAACAAAACATGAGGCAACTGGAACATGAAGAGCAACTTTCCTTCTTTCAGTACTGATTGAAATCACCTGGGCTGTGAAGATTTTCTAACAACTCTGGTCATGAACAAAGCAGACCTTTCCCACAAGATGACTGATACCCACGCATCACACCCTGGGCGATACATTTCACACAGCCTGATAGGCTTTGCTTGCGCAAAGAGATGTGATCTGTTAGTGAGCCTATATAAAAGACTCTTCAGGAATTCGAGCGCTGGAACATTAATAGCATTTGTTAAATAAATATATTTTTACCAGCTGATGAAACGTGTGAATCCTTAGTTACACCTCCTCCACAGGCAGACAGGCATTTGAGTGGCAGAATGCAGACAGCACAGAATGACCTAGCATTAATCTGCATGAGGTCCACTTCCCACCAGGCCTTCCTCGAATACACGCACGCCTCAGACGGTCTGACACTGGGGAAAAGAAACGAGATAACGCAAACCTTCAAAAATAATGCAGGCAGAGGTGAAAAACACTTTAAACCAATGTAACAAATAATGCAAAGTGGGTATTATACATCAACAATGTATAAAAACACATTACATCATATAGTCTAGGAACCTTGGAGCTAGAAAACACACAACAGACTGTGCAAGACTAAAATCAGAACTATGGAAGGTCTCGTGAACTGAAAATGTTTTCTAACAACTCTGGTCATGAACAAAGCAGACCTTTCCCACAAGATGACTGATACCCACGCATCACACCCTGGGCGATACATTTCACACAGCCTGATAGGCTTTGCTTGCGCAAAGAGATGTGATCTGTTAGTGAGCCTATATAAAAGACTCTTCAGGAATTCGAGCGCTGGAACATTAATAGCATTTGTTAAATAAATATATTTTTACCAGCTGATGAAACGTGTGAATCCTTAGTTACACCTCCTCCACAGGCAGACAGGCATTTGAGTGGCAGAATGCAGACAGCACAGAATGACCTAGCATTAATCTGCATGAGGTCCACTTCCCACCAGGCCTTCCTCGAATACACGCACGCCTCAGACGGTCTGACACTGGGGAAAAGAAACGAGATAATGCAAACCCTTCAAAAATAATGCAGGCAGAGGTGAAAAACACTTTAAACCAATGTAAAAAATAATGCAAAGTGGGTATTATACATCAACAATGTATAAAAACACATTATATTATATAGTCTAGGAACCTTGGAGCTAGAAAACACACAACAGACTGTGCAAGACTAAAATCAGAACTATGGAAGGTCTCGTGAACTGAAAATTCAGTGTACAAACGTCATTTCCTTATCAACAGTGAACAAATGCACATAAACGCTCTCTTCCTCAAATTTACCCCTATACTGACTCTCTAGCAGACATGCAAACAGTTATTTTAAGAGATTGCTTAAATGGCACTACAGTGGTTTGTACAACAAATAAATATGAGTCTTGAGATCAGACTTCAAGCATTAAAGGAACAGTTCACCAAAAAATTTAAATATGCAGAAAATGTACTCGTCCTCAGACCATCCAAGATGTAGATGAGTTTGTTTCTTCATCAGAACAGATTTGTAGAAATGTAGCATCACATTACTTGCTCACTAGTGCATCCTCTGCAGTGAATGGGTGCCGTCAGAATGAGAGTCCAAACAGCTGATAAATAATCACAATAATCCACACCACTCCAGTCCATCAATTAACGTCTTGTAAAGCCAAAAGCTGCATGTTTGTAATTAACAAATACATCTTTAAAAAATGTTAAATTCCAACCATTTCTTCCACTATACATAATTTAGCTTTCTCCAGTCAAAAAGTGATCTTGTCTGAATCAAGAGAGAAATATGCACAGATAAGCACCGCTTACAATCGAAAACACTCCTAAACAAATATATGGGCATGGATTTTGATGTGAGAGGACAAGAGGGGATGGAGTTTTCCATTGGAAGAAGTGTTATTATGGATTATGGACTCGTATTTTTGGCCAAAAGTGACAGTTTAAAGTAAAAACGCCTGGAGAACAGACGAACAAGGAAGGGGACAGAAATAATTGATAGACCTTTAAAGCATCCAACTAACAAATCCCACTCAAAACAAAACATGAGGCAACTGGAACATGAAGAGCAACTTTCCTTCTTTCAGTACTAATTGAAATCACCTGGGCTGTGAAGATTTTCTAACAACTCTGGTCATGAACAAAGCAGACCTTTCCCACAAGATGACTGATACCCACGCATCACACCCTGGGCGATACATTTCACACAGCCTGATAGGCTTTGCTTGCGCAAAGAGATGTGATCTGTTAGTGAGCCTATATAAAAGACTCTTCAGGAATTCGAGCGCTGGAACATTAATAGCATTTGTTAAATAAATATATTTTTACCAGCTGATGAAACGTGTGAATCCTTAGTTACACCTCCTCCACAGGCAGACAGGCATTTGAGTGGCAGAATGCAGACAGCACAGAATGACCTAGCATTAATCTGCATGAGGTCCACTTCCCACCAGGCCTTCCTCGAATACACGCACGCCTCAGACGGTCTGACACTGGGGAAAAGAAACGAGATAATGCAAACCCTTCAAAAATAATGCAGGCAGAGGTGAAAAACACTTTAAACCAATGTAACAAATAATGCAAAGTGGGTATTATACATCAACAATGTATAAAAACACATTATATTATATAGTCTAGGAACCTTGGAGCTAGAAAACACACAACAGACTGTGCAAGACTAAAATCAGAACTATGGAAGGTCTCGTGAACTGAAAATTCAGTGTACAAACGTCATTTCCTTATCAACAGTGAACAAATGCACATAAACGCTCTCTTCCTCAAATTTACCCCTATACTGACTCTCTAGCAGACATGCAAACAGTTATTTTAAGAGATTGCTTAAATGGCACTACAGTGGTTTGTACAACAAATAAATATGAGTCTTGAGATCAGACTTCAAGCATTAAAGGAACAGTTCACCAAAAAATTTAAATATGCAGAAAATGTACTCGTCCTCAGACCATCCAAGATGTAGATGAGTTTGTTTCTTCATCAGAACAGATTTGTAGAAATGTAGCATCACATTACTTGCTCACTAGTGCATCCTCTGCAGTGAATGGGTGCCGTCAGAATGAGAGTCCAAACAGCTGATAAATAATCACAATAATCCACACCACTCCAGTCCATCAATTAACGTCTTGTAAAGCCAAAAGCTGCATGTTTGTAATTAACAAATACATCTTTAAAAAATGTTAAATTCCAACCATTTCTTCCACTATACATAATTTAGCTTTCTCCAGTCAAAAAGTGATCTTGTCTGAATCAAGAGAGAAATATGCACAGATAAGCACCGCTTACAATCGAAAACACTCCTAAACAAATATATGGGCATGGATTTTGATGTGAGAGGACAAGAGGGGATGGAGTTTTCCATTGGAAGAAGTGTTATTATGGATTATGGACTCGTATTTTTGGCCAAAAGTGACAGTTTAAAGTAAAAACGCCTGGAGAACAGACGAACAAGGAAGGGGACAGAAATAATTGATGGACCTTTAAAGCATCCAACTAACAAATCCCACTCAAAACAAAACATGAGGCAATTGGAACATGAAGAGCAAGTCACCTTAATGATGAATTTGTTTCTTACAAACACGCAGCTTTTCACTTCACCAGGCATTAATTAATCGACTGGACTTGCGTGGATTAGTGTGTTGTTTTTATCAGCTGTTTGGAATCATATTCTGATGGCACCCATCCACTACAAAGGATGCACTGGTGAACAATTGATGTAATACATTTCTCAAAATCCGTTCCAACAAAGAAACTCTTTTACATCTTGGATGGGCTGAGGGTGATACATTTTCAGCAAATTTTCATTTTTTGGGATGAACTTTTCCTTTAAGTGCAGTCATGTTTACTATTGTTCGGTGAATTTTTTTGCGGGCGAAATACAGTAATAATTCCATAAGGACGAACAATTCCCCCATGCAGTTTTCGCAAGAGGTTCAAGTTTAACATTTACCGCATTGACCAACACATAGTGAATTGAAAAAAAGCTTCATTCTACTTCATCACTACATTATTAACTAAAGACAATGGACCTTTTTTTGCCTGCAAAATTTCACTGAAATTTTGACGTTTAGAGCAAATTCTAGGAAGTTAAAACAAAAGGTGCTACTAGAAGCACTTTCTTCCTAAATGTAATGCGCACCTACTCCACATCTCGTGCGCATATGGCACACTCAAAACAGCAGCTGGTAACAGCTTCCTTGAGCACTACAGACTCATCTGATGACAAACGACACAGAGAACACATACCGGAAAGAATATCTATCATTGATCTGCAGCTGTGCAACCTGAAGCGCTTCTTTCATTAAAAAAAAAAAAGTGGCCAAAAATAGACAAGGGGACTTGTTTCCTTCTTTTCTGTGGACATGGCTGTGTGCACGTGCAGAGCTTACTGCGACAATAACAAGCAGAGAACTCCCCAGTGAACTCTACACAGGAAAGCAAATGTCTCTGCTCTACAATTCATCAAAAATAGTAACAGACAGCAGCATTTGCACACAATATAAGCTGCCGCACACAGCAGACACGAGCGGGGATGTTGCATGAGATCTCTGACAGCAGCTGAGATCAAATAAGCTGGCATTGATTGCACAACTGTCCAGAAGCTGCCTACTTAGGAAGTTGATCCAGCAACTTGTCCTGACCCCTGGACCCCCAGAGGGGGTCTTCCTGCATTACAAAACTACAAATGAGATTGCACTCGTCATACTGAACGATCGTGTTTTACAACTCAATAGTTAAATAGCTGAAGAGGATGAACTTATGAATTACTCGTGTGGCTGGCTGCTAATGACAACATGATTTGAATCAAATGGTTACAACAGACGTCAATAACATACCAGAGCAGTTTTCACACCTTTTAAAGCCAGGACGGGTAACGAAGACGTATTACTATTAAATTCACACATAGGACGATGATTTTAAATGCAGAATAACGGTTTCAGCAGAAAATCTCGGCGGTTGCATGTTTACAACTGGGCCCCGCAAGCAACCGTTAGCATAAGCGGCTAACATTAGCGACACAACTGATTTCCGTATTTTCAAAACAATCCCAAACTCGACCGAAACAACTCAATCAAACACTCATTTATAGCTCAAAATTGGTTGCTAGAGATGTAAAGTGTTATTTAACGCCAAAGAATGGGATGTTTTCGGTTTGTTTGCTAGCTCGCTCGTCTGGCTAACTTCAGCTGAACCTCTCTCTTACAGAAGTTTCTTCCGATCTGAAGAGGATAAAAACGACACAATTTCTAAGCGAAACATTTCAAAACAAGCATGGTTTGGCGTACGGCAGAGAGGGTCGGCCCCAGCAGTGCTATCTGCGCATGTAAACAGGCTATGCATGTACGCTTACCCCGCTGTGAGCGTAATAAGACGGGCTGCTGCTGCTGCTGCTGCTGCTGCTGCCCCGCGCGCGCTCTGTGAAACCCCGCAGCTGCCACGAGACCGTTTTCCTCTCAACTATCTGCCCAGAGCGCGAGCCATCGTCCTCACTAAAGTTGCTTTTCTGCTCCCTCTAATCGATAAATGAGTTTATTGGGGAAATTATTCTGCTCTTAGTCTCTACGCAGAGTTATCTCGGCCGCTCACGCGCAAGGCGAGGGAGAGGGGGGGTCGGAAAATAAAAATCGTTCATATGTTTGTGTTCAAAATGGCGAAACTCTGTCATAGACGCGCGCGTGCGCGTGCTGTCAGATCACTGTGCCTGCGAGTCGAGCGCGCGCTTCCCCGCGTTTATTTCCACAAGCCTTGATAAGATGAACGTAGATTAAAATAATAAATAATACTAATAATGATGATAACAACAACAACTGGAGTTTGTTGTCATATTATATTATTCAAATAAACTAGGCTAATGCGTTAAACAATTTATTATAATTAATGTCAAGATTTTTTTCGGGAATTTTTTCCAGGCACAGTCTATTTCAATAACCTTAAAATTCCCCTCAGATTCCAGATTTTCAAATAGTTGTATCTCAGCCAAATATTGTCCTATCCTAACAAACCCATACATCAACGGAAAGCGTATTTATTCAGCTTATTTATTTCAGCTTTCAGATGATGTATAAATCTCAATTTCAAAGAACTGAACCTTATGACTGGTGGTCCTGGGTCACATTTAAGAGTAAGTCATTCCTCCCCGCGGGAGGGCGCTGTTCAGCCTCAATGGCTCCTAAACGATGACCGAGGACGCGACCGTTCACTAAAGCAAGCGGTTCTCAAATGGATTTTTAGGTCACAATGGACCCATTTGACAGCTCCGATGCTCTGGAAGGGCCATCAAAGGCTGCGGCGACAAACACAGAGGTACCGGTGCCGTGGACACGCTTCTCTGCCTGGCTCGAGTGTGTGTGCGTCGTTACCTTCGACCTCGAGCTCGGACAAGCCATAGAGGTACACAAATTATGTGCACGTACCAACATCTGACATTGTTTGTTTAAGTGGTTGTTACAAGCGGGGGGAAATCTGATTGTGAGAAAACGCAGGGACAGTGCAAACGTTCTGATTGTAATATCGCCACACTGTAACCACAGCAACAGCAGCATCACTGTGTATCTCTAACATTCTTTCGGTTGTTATCAGCTCGTTTACCCTCATGATGTCAAACTCACAGAGAAAGAGGTAAGATGAATTTGACAGTATTATAAATGTATAGAGCGCAATGTGTTACGACGAAAACACTAATTTCTTTCTAAAGTGCCTCTAAAAGTACTTAAACCCTTCGCTTCCTTCTGTCTTTTAGAAAACAAGCATCTGTTACTTATCGTTTCCTGACTCATACTCAGGTAATGTGCTGGCACAGGCTGATCTGATCCGTGCTTTCATGATAAACCGCTGAAACATGAGCATTACAGTGCATGTCTATCCCAGGATGCCTCGGGGACACTCAGTTCAGCTTCAGACTGCGGCAGTCGGTGGGCCGCAGTAGCTCTTGGTTTGGACAGGAGGATGTGTACAACAAGGATGCACCTGTGACCCTGCAGGTTAGAAATAGAGTTGCTCTGAATTACTTTTCCCAGCATCACAACTGATTGGCATGTGCTTTGAACCAATAAATTCCATAAATAAGGTGTGCATGTAAATGACCGCACTGTTTTTTCAGAAGGAGCATGCACATTTGCACGGGTATGTGTATTTCAGGCAAGTGAAAGATGCGTCTGTCAAAAGGGGCTACTTTCAGAAGGTGTGTAACTGAAATGAAAGATACACATGCTTGTTCTGGTTTTTCACAATGAGCTTTTCCAGTCTATTTAGACTTTACACGTGAATTGAATGCGTTTAGTCAAGGTCCTTCTTGTTAAATAATATACTGGAAATAATGACTGTTTTGTGCCGTAAATGATTTCAGTATTTCTATATCCCTAGTCTCTGGTGGTGGTGTCCAGATTGCCGTTTGTGAACCTTTTCCATTCGCTGCTGAAGGTCATTGCTCCTGAGTACTTTGAAAAGCAAGAACCTTGTCTGGAGACTGGTGAGACCAGCTTAACTTGGAAAAAAAACACACTTTTGACCACTTTACATGTCCATATCACTTTGCCAAATGATTTCAGTTATTTCAAAGGTCCTTACAGTAACAATAGGATAAAGACAACAGATTATTTCCATCTTTTTGCCACAACAAAATTCTGTTTTATAATGTAAAGCACATACTCTATTTGTGACCCTGGACCACAAAACCGGTCTTAAGTCGCTGAGGTATATTTGTAGCAATAGCCAAAAACACATTGTATGGGTCAAAATTATAGATTTTTCTTTTATGCCAAAAATCATTAGGATGTAAAGATCATCTTCCATGAAAATATTTTGTACACTTCCTACTGTAAATATATTAAAACTGAATTTTTGATTAGTAATATACATTGCTAAGAACTTCATTTGGACAACTTTAAAGGTGGTTTTCTCGATATTTTCACTTTTTTGCACCCTCAGATTCCAGATTTTCAAATAGTTGTATCTCGGCCAAATATTGTCCTATCATAACAAACCACACATCAATGGAAAGCTTATTTATTCAGCTTTGATGATGATGATGTATAAATCTCAATTTCAAACACTTAAGACTGGTTTTGTGGTCCAGGGTCACATTTCTCCCACTCTCTCTCCCTTACAGACGCACACACATAGGCAACCCTTTGGAAGTTTGGGGTCAAGAGTTTTTTTTTAATGAAATTAATTCTTTTATTCAGCAAGAATGACAGTAAAATAAATGCTGTTCTTTTGAACTTTCTGTTCATCAGAAGTATATCTACAAAATATGAAGCACCACAATTATTTTTAACATTGCTAATAACAAAAATGTTTCTTGAGCACCAAATCAGCATATTAGAATGATTTCTGAAGGATCGTGTGACACTGAAGACTGGCTGCTGAAAACATCATAGGAAAAAATGACATTTTAAAATGTATTAGAAAACAGTTATTTTAAATTGTAATAATAGTTCACAGTAGTACTGTTTTTTAAATTGTATTTTTGATCCAATAAATGCAGCCTAAATGAGCATGAGAGACACTTTCTGAAAAAAATCTTACTCCAAATTGGGAATGGTAGTGTTTATATAATATATGTGTATGTGTATTTACATAAATCAACTGGGTAATGGTAATTCAGTAAAGATGTGCATAAACATGAAAGCCACCCAAATAAACAAACATTTGCATGCCAGCAATCATATACTGCTTTTAAAATATCAAACAGAAAGCTCAAGTTATTATGGAGTGTTAAATCTCAAATCTTCAGTCATATTGGTTAATATCTTTCAGTCTGTAATGAGATTGAGCAATGGCCCGCACCAGTACCAGGACAGACACTCAACCTACCTGTGATGGGTGTGGTGATGCAGGTGAGAAGATTTTGGATGGTAAAACTCTTTTCCAAACCCTTTTTAAATCCATTCAGTTTATCAAATGCTGATGTTGGATTTGCAGGTCAGAATTCCCTCAAAAGTCGAAACACCAGCAAGAAGCCCTGTAAGACAACCACAAACAGAGGTGCCTGTCTCATTTTACTATGACAATCATGCACATATGCTTTTATTTTAACATATGCTTAATACGTGGTTGTATTTTTGCAGAATCTGCTCCCTGCCCCCACGGTTCTTCCATCAGTTCACGAGTTGGATCTTTTCAAGTGAGTATTACACTGGTTGTACATGTTATCTGTAATTACTAAACCATCTGTTGATTTTACAGCACTCACTAATAGCAGCCCTAATTGACCTTCATGTAATCAGATGTTTCCAGTCAGTCCTGATTCACGTGCAGATGCTCTGGGAGCTCATGTTGCTAGGAGAGCCTGTGGTTGTTATGGCACCCTCTCCAACCGTCTCCTCAGAGACTGTGTTGACCCTGGTCAGGTATGGATATTGCGTTTTCAAAGCTCTCCTTCCAGAAGCACGTAAACAACATAAGTAATTGCTAGGAACTTATAATAATGACAATAAGAGCTGATAGCGTTTCTATTGGTCTGTTTCTATTAAAGTTTATGCCTATGTTTATTCATCAGCAAAGTCCAAACCCCACACCATTTCAGAACTGTTTGGATGTTTATTTAACATTATGGTTTTTGTGAAATTGCAAAAGCTTTATAAACACAAATAGTTTCTTCTTAACCAGTTTTTAACAGTTTTTGATAGGACATAGTGTAGTTTTGCATGTATTTGATATGTTTTATGCTCACTGTTTAGCACTATCGCCCCACTGCACTACTGTGGTGATTACAGACCATACTTCACCATTCATGACAGTGAATTCAAGGAGTACACGACCAGGACTCAGGCTCCGTAAGCAAAAACTCACATGCCACCTAAAGTCTCTCTTTAAAGGATCATTTCTTAAAAAATTCTGTAATTGTTAACTGACCATCATGTCTTTCCAAACTCATGATTTTCTTTAACAAAAGATGAATTTTTGAAGAATGATCTAAGCCATTCTTTCGTATAATGAAAATGAATGGGGACTGGAACTGTCAAACTGCAAAATGACACAAAGGCATTGTTCTGTTGCTCCGGCAAAGCTATCATGGCTTTAAAATATAGCACACAAATGTATAGACTGCTTTTTGTTATTTAGTAGTTGACAGCAGCCATGATATTCTTCAAAAATGCACCTTTAGGTTTGGTCTAAACGTGAGCTACATGTGCAAAACAACATTTGTGGGGCAGGATATGACTCTTCAGTCTATTTTCTGCTTTCAGGCCCAATGTGATACTTGGTGTCACAAACCCTTTCTTTATAAAGACCTTTCAGTGCTGGCCACACATTATTCGCCTCGGAGACCTGAAGATGTCTGGTAAATTATGCTCCATTTTAGCAGCAAGGCTCATCTGACAGCCCTTTTTTTTAACATATGATTTTGGTATATTGCACGAGCGAGGTCTGAATGGAGTTTCTTTGCAGGTGATTTACCAAAGCAAGTGAAGGTCAAGAAACTGGCAAAGTTAAAAACACTAGATACTAAAACAGGTACGCAAGTAATCTTATGTGCTGAATAAAACATGAGCGTGTGTGTGTATATATATATATACACAGTGACTAAATACTTTTTTGCCCCACTGTGTATATATATATATATATATATATATATATATATATATATATATAATTTTATTTTTCTCTTATACCATAAAGGTATATACACAGCATACAAGACCTTTCTACACAAAGATAAAGCCCTCATCAAGCAACTTTTAAAGGTAGGCTGCAAATGTTCATTCTTGAAAAATGACATTTAAGTTTAAAGTAAAATTACGTCTAACTCCTTCCTTTGGTTTTTCATTTTTACTTTTAGGGTATCCAGAAAAAAAGGCCATCAGAGGTGCAGAGCACCATTTTGAGGCGGCATCTGTTGGAGCAAACGCAGAGTTTCATTCTTCCGCTGGTAACCAGTTTAAAAACATTTTTGCACCTTTGTTCAGAGCTTAATGACAGCTTTACCATTTCATTTCATTCACTAAGCAGTATTGAGCGCCGCACCCATTCTTTTCTTTAGGAACGGTATCTGGAAAGCCTCATGCCGCCACAGAGATCTATGTCTCCGTGGAAGGTTGGTAAATCAGAATAAGGAGATGTGTATAAGCCATTTCCATTGATTGTTATGTTGGACCTCAAATATGAAGTGAAGTCTCGGAATTCCAAGTGGCAATGAAACAGTTGTGTATGTATGTGTCAGACCCCTCCTCAGATCCGGTCTTTCAGTCAGGATGAGTTCATGAAGACCCTGGAGCAAGCAGGGCCACAACTAAATCTGAAAGGAGATTGGACAGGCCTGTACAGGTAACATGCCAGGGCTGCGTTTCCCAAAAGCATCATGAACCCATTGGCATCAATAATCTGTACAATCTATCTAGGCTTATGCTCCTTTGATGAGAAACACAGCCCAGGACATTCGGGATCTAAAGACTGAAACTTCCTGTTAATCGTGCTTATAATAAATGTTTATATATGACATTCAGGCGTTTCTTCCGTTCACCAAACTTTGATGGCTGGTATCGGTTCAGGCACAGAGAGATGACTCAGAAAGTGGAATGTCTTCATTTAGAGGCCATCTGTGCGGCTGTGAGTATGATTTTGGATCTGGATTCGGTCATTGCTTATACCACTATACCTCTTAAATATTTGTTTGCAAATAAAAGAATGTTTAAAGGATTCATTCACCCAAAAATTATACGCTCTCAAATCGTTCCAAACCCTTATGATTTCTTCTGTTTAACACAAAAAGAGGATTTTTTTTTTTGAGGAACTGAACTGGTCGCTCTTTTTCATGCAATTGCCATGAATGTAAACAGAGGCTTTGAAGCTTCAAAAAGGACGCAAAAGCACCATCAAAAGCATCATAAAAGGATAATAATAGTATATGTTACTAACACTACCGTTCAAAAGTGTGGGGTCAGCCAGAATAGTTTTTCTTGAAAGAAATGAATGCTTTTATTTAGTAAGTATAGTTAAATAAATGAAAATGAAAGTACATACATTTTATAATGTTACAAAAAATCTATTCAGCCAAACAAAATAAAAATCCTAAACAAAATATATCATGGTTTTCACAAAAATATTAAGCACAGTTGTTTTTAATAATAATAATGTTTCCTGAGCACCAAATCAGCATATTAGAATGATTTCTGAAGAATCATGTGGAGTAATGATGCTGAAAATTCAGCTTTGCATCACAGGAATAAATTACATTTGAAAATTTGCATTAAAGCAGTTATTTTAAATTGTAATAGTATTTCATTTTTACTGTATTTTTTTTTTATCAAATAAATGCAGCTTTGTTGCACATAAGAGCATTAAAAAAATCTTATTGACCCCAAACTTTTTAACAAAAATGAGGAACAGACTAAAATTGAAGTTATTTACAATCTTCTCCCCCAGTCTGCTGTTAACTTCTGTGACTAGATTTTGTGAACGAATCATTCAATAATGTTTTTTTAAAAACTGGATTAACCAGTTATTAAAAAGAACACAAAGTAATGATTAAATAACATCTCCTTTTCTCTCATGAACTTTAATAAACACACCTAAGAAATCAAGACCTGAAGATTTTCAATGAATAACGACTTCAATTTCAGTCTGTTTTTAGTTGCATGGAAAAGCGCGGCCAGTACAATTCTTCAAAATCCTTCTTTTGTGTTCCACAGAAGAACGAAAACCCTACGAGTTCAGAACAACATGAGGGTGAGTTAATAATAAGTCATTTTAAATGTTGAATTACTCTTTTAATGGCTCATTTAATTTTTGTTTTCATTAATTCAGGATCTGCTGACATGGACCAAAGACAAATCAGAAGTAGAGATTGTTGACCTCATCCTGAAGCTTCGGGAGAAACTGGCGAGTTAAACCACTTTTTGAGTATGAAGCAGGTAAAAGTGAAGTATTTGTGTTTTACGTTAAAACATTTGCCTGAAGCTTCTATCTCTTCTTCTATATGTCCTACCCAGACAAGAGCTCGAAAACACCAGCTTCCAGTTAAAGAAGAACTCCTGGAGAGATTAGAGCAGTCCATCCAGACCATCATCAGCTCCTTGCCAGAGGATCTACAGACATTATTACACAGACAATGACAATCAGACCCACGTGAACAACACTGACCAGCAGATCCACTGATGCATACACAGAGACTGTCTTTCCAGTATATACCAGCTATATTTGAACTCATAACACCTGTCCTGCACAGGTATCAGCCCACATCTCTTCTTCTGGTAAACCCATACACTACCTGAGAGGCCTTTCATTTTGGATGTACAGTAACAACAGATACTGCTGCTATACAGGGTCCAAGATGACACATGAAGAACACAGAAAACATTGATACTTGGATTAAAATCATTTGAAGTCCTCCGCTAGACTTCACACTAGATTTTAGATGTCTGCTAAATTACATTTTAATGTGCACCAAGTATTTAAAGCCTGCAGTCAGTTAGCACTGCATGAACAAGGCATTTATTTTATAAATCAACATTTAGTCAAATAGATTAATGAAAGGATCAACAAATTGACTTTTAATTAGCATATGCAGCATTTATTTAGCATATGCAGTGAAGTTCATAAATATGGATGACTTGTTAGTTTAAGATGCTTTTATGATTATTTATTAAGTATCAATGCTTTTATTTCAGTGATGTTGTTTGTTATTATTTAGGGACATTAATAAGCACATTAGTAAATACACAGCAGTGCTTTTGGCTATTATTTATTTACACCTTACCTGACCTTTAACCTTTGCACAGGAGCACCTCTACTGCATTGTTTAGCTTGTTTTTACTATTTTTATGTTAGAAGCTGATTGTCTAGGTGTTTTTTTTTTTACAATTTAGATTCAATCTTATTTAGAGTTGGATTAACAAACTCTGGATTAAGATATATCTAAAACTAAACAGAATTGTCGAGCTCAATGTCATTAATATGCAATACAATCATGTATAAGCTAGTCAGTCTGTATATATATATTTTTTTGATCCAACCTGAACCTTACTTGAAAAAGGAAATGGTTGTTCTTTCTTTATTTGTGCCATTTACAGTTTTGAACCTCGCACTGCACTTTGCCCATTTTTACTTTTTCATTTGTAGTTTGTGTAGCTGCTTTTTCTGTGTTTTTTGTTTAATTATTTTTTTGAAATGGTTGTAAGTTTTACTTTAAAGTTTGCCGCTTCTGCAGTATTTTAAAATGTTTATTTGAAAGAGCCATACTATGTTTTTATGGTTGGGACTGTATTATTAAAATGTTTTAACAAACCAGCAGTAATACTTCTGCTCATCTGCCTGTTAGTAGAGAGCTCATAAACTGAACCGAGTGTATCAATGGAGCCACATACAAAATGTGCAGGTGGGAAACTCCAAGACCACTTTTGAATAGCATACTATTCTTATTTTTTTCATATTTTTAAATGGCAGAAATATAAAGAGTAGTATCTTCTCTCAAATTCAGCCACTGTCTTAAATTATGCAAGAAGCACCTATCTTTCTAATAACAAGTCCTCACATTGCAGATTCTTTAACATACTGTAGTTTTCATAATAATTATCTGAACATGAACTATTAGAGAAAACAATTTGCCAAGTTTTCTTTTTTTATTATAGTTGCCATATAATTATTCCAAACAATATTTTTATTGTTAAAAATTTGCTTATGCAGTGGAGTGATGGATTTTACAAATCATAATCTGAAGATGAAATGTTTTTAAATATATCATAATATATCAAATAAAATGCTAAAGAGAGCAAAATAGTTTGTTTTGGTCAAGATTGAAAATATACATTTACCTGACTGACTGATAAAATGTACTTACAAGACAACTGTGAAAATGATCTGTAATTAGTTCTCAAAAAAGCATAATGTATATTCAGCTTAGATAAAGGAATAACGGTGTAGCCATCAAATGTCAGGGAACAATAGAGCCAACCAAAATCTATCCAAAAAAACTATAATAAAGTCGCTCACATCCTTCTTAAGTTAAATACAAACTGCTATACGTTTACAAACTCAAAGCAACTAATGATTTTTACATTTATTTTTTAATTGATAATATATTCCCATTAAAAACCCTGGAATTAGTTGTGTGTGTTAAATATATACATAGATTTCATCATGACAATACATGAAAAGTGCTGCTGTCTGATGGCATTACTTGCTGGATTCCCTCTAAAAAACCTGTTGGAGCTTTTTAAGAGCATTTTCTTTGGTATAATCCATTCTGTAAATGTCAACCTTTCAACTAAACCAAATAGTGTTACGTTACGTCTCCAGTTATTATACAAAATCAATAGCAACAGTTTGGTGCACTGTCAATATCTAATATTATGTTGCACACACAGAAGAGAAGTTTGGGATGATAGGTCAGCTGTGTTACGTGATCCAACACTGGATTCAAACCATTCATAAACTGTTTAGTATCCTGTCATGCAAAAGCTGGAGTATATATGTCATTATCGGAAACATATCCAACATTGTTGCTCCTGTTATTTGGTACCTTCTCACACTGCACACAAAAAGTGGTCAATAAAAATAAAGGAATATTTATCTCAGCACAGTAGAACCGTAAAGTCACTCTTCTTAACTCATTTGCATCATCTCATCCCTGCCATCCACCAGCCGTGTTGTTGCTGCTTTAGCACAGCCTGTTTCTCTTGAGGACTAAAGTGCAAAATGGTCAAAATGGCCGTGAGTGTCTGCTGGCGCCCTCTGGTGTCGTGGAGCGTGAGAAACCTATAAATGACGTTTTTGAGATACTCAAGGTTGGCCCCATCTCTCCCCTGGTCCCGATTACGTTTGTCCAACTGGCACCGTAGCTCAGCGACCTCTTCTTCATGCCTCTCCCCATTAGCAATCAGCTTTCCTTGTAGCTGATGCAAGTCCTCCTCTAAACGATGCTTTTGTTTGCGCAAGGCGGCCACTTCCACCTCCTTGCGCGCCAGTTGTTCGGCGTACAACAATAAAGTCGGCTCATTGGGCCCAGCTAGTTTTAGAGCTTGAGCGATAATGTCACTTTCTTCTTGTTCTGGATCAGCTTCCTCTGGGTCACCTCCTTCCATCGCTGTGCTGTTATTTGTAGCGTGTTTCTGATGGCTACCAAAGCCGATCACCGTGGCCGCCCGGAGTCGCTCCAGCTCAAGGTCTTTTTCTGCAAGAAGAGCCATGGTGCGATCTCTCTGTTTGTGCAACTCTTCCTCAAGCCGCAAGAAGTTCTCCCTGTGTTGAGCCTCCAGCCTCTCGACTTCCTGTTTGTGGGTCTGCTGGAGCACTACAAGCGCTTGTTGCCGCTTCTCCAGGTCTCGTTTGTGCTGGACTTCCGCTTCGTCTGAAATGATACGAAGGTTGATGTACTTCTCCTTCAGCTCGGCCAGCTGGTCACGTGCTTCTTCTAACTCTTTGGCCTGGTTGCCATCTTTCGTGTTCTTGTTTTTCAGAACACCCTGCACCCTCATTTTGTAGCGCTCAAACTCCTCCCTAAGCTGCCGGAGCTCTTGTTGGTAGTGAAGCACTGAAGCCTTCTCGCTCTCTGAGACTTCCTGGTTCTTTTCTCCTTCCAGTAGCCTTTCGATGTCCAGACTCTGGTCTTGAGATCTTTGCGCAGCCAGGAGGAGTAACTTCTTCACCTTGTCGAGTTTGTCCTTTAACACGTCCACGTTCAAGTTGGTGTCATCGAGGTTTAGATCGGAAGTCGTTGACCTGTTGACTGCTGCGATGGCGAGGGTTTTGTTCTCGGTGTCGAGTTGAAGGATACGTTCTCGTAGCCTCTGAGCGTTTTGTTGGTCCTTCTGCCTGGCCTTCTCACAGGCACCCAGTAGTTCGGAGAGCTCAGACACTCGCTCCTCAAGGCTGGCAACTCGTGCTTCCTCCATCTGTGCCTGTTCTCGGAGACGCTCATCTGCTTGTGCCACCTGCAAAAAAAAAAAAAAGGAAATTAGAATAAATGTTTAGATTAGCAAGAGACCAGGGGTGTCCTATCCTGCTCCTGGAGGGTGAGTATCCTTCAGAGTTTAGCTTTCAAATCTGCCTCAACAACCAATGGACTGAACCAAGTCTCCTCCCAACACTTCACTCACATGCAAGTACGTCACAATACGGAAGAAAGATCTATTCTTCTGCTACATGTGCTACTTGCATTACATTGCAAAACAAAACAGCCTGTTAAATTAAGTGAGGAGACATGAATTAATGTTATAAACCTAATATGTGGATTTCAAGACAAAACTGTAAGATACGTCATATTCAAAATAGGGTTGGGCCGATAGACGATGCTGTCGTCCATCGCCGATGGCTGATAGACATCACGATGTTGAGCCAGCATCGTACACCTCGTATCCACCGCAACCCTATACCATGTTCGGAAAGAAAATGACGTGTACTACGGAACCCCTAAAGAGAATAAATACGAGATGGGAGGAATATATATATTTCAATATTTTCTCTCGCAGTTAGAGAGAGTTAGCTGCCAATCTCCACAATCTCTTTTTAGTTTCACTTTTACTTTGGAGATTCGCGATCGCACGTACTGTTAGCGGCAGTACTTACCACACATTTTGCAAATCATTCGTCATCGTCCTCAGTCATCTCTCCTTACTCTGTTTATGTGGTGAAATAAACAGAAAGTGAAATTTTATGTAGCTACTGTAATTTAACAGGCAACCGTTAGCAATCCTTATTTGTTTTCTGTGCCTTTCTGAATACGGATTCACGCTTCGGGCCCCCCCCCAATGTCATCGTCCATCGCGATGTTTCACTGTAGACATCGTCCGATGCCAATTTTATAGACATCGCCCAACCCCAATTCAAAACATACCTTTCTGATTTCCTGCTGAAGCTGCTGGTTGAAGTGAGCTTTGAGCTCTGCCATCTCTTGCTGGAGCTCCTCCACACGTGGATCAGGTTTGCTCTTCTCCGCCGCTGCAGCCTTCAGGCTTTTCCTCAGCTCCTCCCGTTCTTGAGTGATTTCTTTCAGCTGCGTTTCATAATCTATCCCTCGGTCTGCCACCTGCATGGCTTCAGCCAACGCCTCTCGCGAATCCTCCAGTTTGAGTTCGGCGTCCTGTCTCAGTCCCCTCTCCTCCTGCAGGAGTTTCTGGAGCTCTCGGAGCATGAGCGCATGATCGCCCTGCTCCTGCTCCCGTTCATGTTGCTGGGTTATGACACGGGCTTTGCTCTCCGCCAGCTGCTCCAGCAGGCTCTGATGCTCCAGCTGGTGCTGCTTCTGCTCTTCCTCCATCCTGGCCTGCAGCTGTTCCAGCTCCTGCTTCATCTTGCGCTTGTCCGCCTGGAATGAAGCTTCCATTCTGGACTTTTCTTGAGTGACGGTGGCTAAGGAACTGGTCAGAGTGGAGAGCTGCGTCTTTAGTTGGAAGATACGGCGGTCTGTGTCCGCTGCAGGTGGCGGCGGCTCCATACATCCACCGCTGCTGCTGCTGCTGCTGCTGATGCCACTTTCAGACCCACTTGCCTCCTCAGATTGCTGAGGCAATGCGTTTGCGACAGTCCCAGCGGTGGCTCCATCTACAGCACAGCTTTGGTCCTCCTCTATTTGGTCTCCTTTCGTGCTGTTGCTGGTCACGCTAGTGGCCGTTTCAGCAGAGGCCGCTGTATCCAGGCTGTCTTCGCTGTGAAGTGAAGATCGGTCATCCCCAAGGTCAGAGGGCAAAGGTCGTTCAGCGTTTTCTGTACCTCCACCAAATGACAGGTTATGACCACACTGGCTTAAATCGACCTCCTGCGAAATGGTCAGCACCTTCAGGCTGGCTTCCAAGGCCTCTTTTTCCTTGAGTAGGCTTTGGTACGCTCTGACAACATCTTTAAAGCGCGTCTGATACTTCACAAGCTGTTTCTTCTGCACTTCGATGGTTTCCAGCAGCTCCTTCTTGCCTGGGCCTCCACCAAAGCTCATACCGAACTTCTCCATGGTGTATCAGTGTCAGTCAGTTTGCATACTCTCTGATGTGATCTCCACCTGTGAAGTAAACACAGATTTATGACTGTGAAATACAAGAAGAGCAACGAAGAAAATCATTTAGCAGCATTTCACAATATTTGGAGTTTGCTTAAACCTAAACATTTCCAAAAAGCTTTTGTGAGTAATGTTTGTTTCACACTT